GGCAGTGAGCAGGCGCACTGAAAACAGAGAAGCCAGGAGCTCACCTGCGTGATGACTGGAAGGAGCTCATAGACATGGAGACGAAGACCCAAGAGAAGGTCTACGTTCTCTCCCCCAACCCTACTAGTGTTCATCTACACATGCTTACAAAAGCCAGAACCTCTACCTCAATGGAACAAAGCTCGCTGGGAGCCCCGGAGTGGGGATGAAGGGTTCTAACGTTGGAGCCAGACACACCCGAGGGCCAAATCCAATTCCACCACTTGTTAGCTTTGGCACGTATACTATGTAATCCCCCTGAGCCCGGGTTCCTCATCTGTACAATGGGAATAACCACATTATAGAAGGTGTTGTAGGAGCTGCATAAGGGAGGTGACAGAGTCTTGGCTGACGTGACCTCTGGCTTTCTATCCCAGGCTGGGATCCCGGCCACCGTGGAGCGAATGGGGAGACATCAGGCACATCTCTCCTCACTCATCCGAAGTGTCTGAAAATGACAGATGACTTTGCAAAACTCTCAGGTCTGTAGAAGCTCCACATGAAGAAGTCCCCTGGCCCCCATCTTGCTTTGGAACTAGAGTTCTTGCTCCCTGCCACATTCCCCAGCCCAGAATGGTCACCATGCTGGGGGTTTTAAGAGCTCTGAAAGGTCCACGGTCTTCAAGAGGTGTGCCCAAGTGATCCCAAGTCCCACTTCCCTTCCCTACTTCTGCTCACCCCGAGAAGCAACAGCTCAGTACATCCTGTTCTCTGCTCCCACCCACCTCCACGTGACGCACCTTCTCATCTGCAAGATGACACTCCCTGTTTCCAGCAGCTTCTTCACCTAGCGCCGGACCCACTACAAGGCCACCTGTGGGTCAGGGCCTAAAATAGCATCCTTCTCCCCTCTTCCCCCCTTTCTTAGTCTTTTGAAGATAACTGTAAGATTTTTATAAAGTATTCTCCCTTGGCACCCCTCCTTTGTTCTTTCTGGAATCACATGAATAGATTAGCATTGAAAAGAGTCCATCACAGAATGGAGTAAGATGTGCAACTTCCCTCCATGGTTTACTTTTATTGTTCTTGTTAGTGTGAGCTTCCCGTCCAGTTTTAAATGCAATTCCTCGGCCCCTCTTCGCATCTAGTAACAGCTCTGATACCCTGCTGGCTTCTAAGGAGGGTCACGTTTGAAGATTTACACAAGCCTGGGGTCCTGACAAGTGCATCAGAAGGCACCCCACTAAGTGCCTGTAATTTCTCTGACCTCAAAGTTCAAACGAGGCAAGCCAAGTCTACGCAAGCTGAAGGTCTACTCGCCTGAGATGAAACCACCTCAGGCTCTGCTGACTTTTCTCAACCCCAAAACAAAGCAAAACTTTAAATTCTGTGATACTCTAGGCCTCATCCCTGTGCACGGCCAAGCTGTGGTCAGCAGAGAGGGCCACAGGACACCTCTCCTTCCTCCTCACGCAGCCTCTCCGGTGTGAAATTCGCAGGGAGGGCCGTGGAGACCCACAACGCCATTTCTTTCTTCTGGGTTTTGGAGAAGTGATCAGATTCTGGTACCACTCCACGGCTTCAAAGAAATCAACTTTCCCTCTCTCTTTAGAGCAACTTTTCAAGACTTCAGCCTCAAAACAAGGTAAGCCCCCAGGCTTGCTAAGTCCCTCAGATGTTGTCAACGTGCCCAGAGCCCTGTAAAAACTTCCCGTCTTCGGGTAAGAATCCTCTCCTTCCGGTATCGCTGTGACCAACTTGTGAGCAATCCTGCTCCTGCTCTCCTCATGGACAGCGGAGCCCACTGGGTCCTCGGGGTAAGAATCTGCCCTGACCCACTTGCTGGCACCCTGGCTCTTCTCTCGCCAACAGCAGCTGTGGGAAGCAGAGCCCCAAATCACACAAAACGAAGCACAGCAAAACATTCAGCTACTCGGGACGTCCGAGAGACGTCTCTCTACCTGCTGATGGGCTGTTAGGGAGGACAGGCGTTCGGGAGGGCTGGGAAGGCCGGGGCATCTTTAGGACACAAGGTAACCATGCCCAAACAGTGCAGCCAAAAAAATAAAATAAAATAAAATAAGCAGAATTAAAAAAAAAAAAAAAAGCCACAAGGGCAACAAGCCAGGAAAACAAAGTTCACAGTCAGCATTCCTCCTACGGACAAGTGGAGCTAGTATGGGAAGCAGAGGCTCCACCATGGGGCCCCTGTCCCGACATCAGACACTGCTGACCTTCACAGCAGTCCCATGGATGCAACCCACAAGGGCTAATGCGCAAGCCAATCCAAGCTGGAAGACAGAGCTGGGATTTGAACCCAGGGCCATCTGAGTCTAAATCCTGTGCTCTTTCAACCAAACCCTTACCCACTTGGGGAGGCCACCAATGGAGCCCTCCGCTGCCTACCAAAGTAGCCGCTGCCCCAGATTCAAAACCCGTAGCTCCAGTGAGACCACATTCACTGGGGCACCACCATCGTGACAGCCCCCGTTTTGTTAATTAGCACAATTGCTAAATAAGGGGACATTAACATGGGCGTGGCTCAGCATCCCACCAGAAAGAAGAAAGAGGGAAGACCAAGACTGCCTACCCACAGTGTGCTAAGAGAATGCAGGCATGGTTAGACCTACTGGTCAGTCCCGCTGGCTGGAAAGAAGCCCTTCCCCCCTCTTCTAAGAACGCCTGAGGTCAAGAGAAGGAGTCGTATGGGTGATGCTCCAGGAAGGTGAAAACGGCAGCAGCAAGATTTCCACACCCACTAGGAGGAGAAGAGGCGTCACCCAGGCCCACAGGAGGTGTACATCCATGAGGCAGGAGCCCCAGCAGCTTGGCGGGGTGGAACGTGGGAGCTCGGCCCCATCTGCTCCGAGGCAGTGCGACCTCCGGGCAACCGGCAAGCCAAGGCACAGTCAGCTTTCCATTTGGTCTATTATTCATAACCTTCAGGTCCTGTCTTCACAAAGGAACTGTTCTGTACAGAGCAGAACATATATTAAATGACAAACCAGCCTCTGAGACAAAGCTTGTATTCAGTGCTGAGCAGGGATGAATGCTGACAGAACACCTTTTAAAATACAGGATCTCCATCTCCCAAACTAGGCCAGCGGCAGAACTTGCTGTCCCTCCCTCACTCCCTCCGTCCCTCCCTCGCCAGGAAAAGTAGCCTCTATATTTATGTTGGAAAGCGAAATTGTTAGAATGAAATTTCAAGGGGCGCCTCGGTGGCTCAGTCGGTTAAGTGTCCGACTCTTGATCTCAGGGTCGTGAGTTCAAGCCCAGTGTGGAGCCTATTTAAAAGAAAAAAAAAGACAGAAGGAAACTTCGAGATCTATAAACACAGTATTTGATGTCATTCCTTTAAATGGCACTGTGTTCCAGAATATCACAGGAACGGCTCGGAACTAGTCGAGGGAACAGGCAGCCGGAAGACAGGGCGTGGCTGTGCACACAGCTGCATCCCCATCACGGTCCCCCTCGTGACACACAGGACAGAAGCAGGCTGACAGCCTGTGGCGAGAGGAACGCACGAGAGGTGCCAAGTCCCAGCGGCACACACTGGGCCAACGACAGGAATCCTATCCCTATCATCTGACTTTCCAGCAGCTGTACGCGGCCTCCCCTCTCTCATGTAGGTCACTATGGGTGACACCTGAACCAACGCAACACCGTGCAGCACGCTGGGTAAAGACCTCGGGTAACCGCAAAGCCAGGCAATTTACCGAGCTGCTTTGTGGCTCATTCCTCGCCCATGAAATGGGGAAAGAACAATGCCGTCCCTCTGGGCCCCAGGTGACTGCTGCGGTGACCACATGAAGCAATTCATATATGTATATGTATATATAAAGTACTATATGGAGTCAAGGTGTGCTGTTTCTGAGGCGTGGGTTTCAATTTTCCAAAGTGGGCTCCTTTCCAGGTGCGTCTCAGCACGGCTGCAGGGGCAGCTAGAACCAAGGCAGCAGGAGACAAACCACTCTGATGTCCAACCACTTCCCTGGACCGAGCGGCCCTGCGATTTATCTTTTTAATAACGTTCCCTGCCCCCACCCCTTTTCTGAAAACAAATACACCTTCCAATTACAAACAAAAAGGAGAGGAGCACAGTAACTTAGCGGTAACTTAGCCGTGAGGTTGTGGGCCTCGGTTTGCTCAGCTCTCAGTGGGAGTAACAGTGGGACCCAAACCACATGACTGTTGTATGGAATCAGTGAGATACTGTAAAGAGCTTAGCACATTTGTAAGCGCTTGCATGCTGGCTTTTATTAATCTTATTTTGATCTTGTTTTATCCTGGAGAGAAAGAGGCAACAAATGACAGAGGGCAATACAACAGATGCATATTTACCTTAGGATCCTCTGTCTGGACCCAGAGTCCTTAAATAACTCAAGTCAGTGCTTCTTAAACTTTGTGGCAAAGGACCACTATCGGTTGGCTTCCCCCCCAAGTACGACAAAGTTGTAGACCTACCATGCGTAACAAGTACGCAGTTTGCTCCCCATGAGCTAGTTTGACAACACTCCTGCTACAGGTTCAACAAATACCAAATTGCTATGAAGCTGCTGACTCTCAGCTTCTACACCTTTCTTGTCACGGATCGGTCACAGTTAGTGGATGAGTTAGCAAACCACACTTTTGAGAACACTGATCTAGACTGTTCTTACCCCCTTTCTCCTCAGTCCCATTTTACAGAGAGAGGAACTGCCCCTGAATGGCAAAGCTGAAAGTAAAAAAACGAAACAAAACAAAACAAAAACAAACCAAAAAAACCTCCAAAAAACAAAAACAAAACAAAAAACCCCTGAGGAAACAGCAGAAGACTCAACCCCAAGTACACGTTAGAAAGTTCCAGAAATAAGACATCAAAGAGAACAAACACAGGACAGTAACAGCATGAACACAGCCCAGCTGGGGCTGACCACCTTCGTCATACGGATCTAGGGACAAGACTTCACTTGGCACCAGCGGGGCAGTTGTGGCTCCAGCCCTGAGAAGCCCAGCCCTCCCGGGGCGGCCTCCCTGACCTTGGGGCGGTCTTCCTTCCTCAGAGCCACAGCTTCTAGTTTGGCCTCGTACTCTGCTTGCACTTGGTCCCTCTTCTTCAGTACGCTCTGTGGGAAGAGAAAGAGGAAGCACGTCACACAGAGTTCACAAAGGAGACTTCTGGCCCCAGGCAGTTGCCTCTTTACCCTGTTCCTCCCCAAGTCCTGGCGCACCCAGGCCCCACCACCTGCTCCCAGGACACGTGACATGGACTCTGGAGGAAGCAGGGGTGGAGTAGGGGTGGCACCATTAACTCAGCCTGATACTGAAGGTGACGGAAGCTCTGGGGAAGGACAAGTAGGGGGAACAGTGCCCATCCTCAGCCACACTGATGAGAAGACTCGGCTGTGCTGAAATGGGAGGCTTGGCAGGTGACAAGGCAGGATGTTCTCTGAACCGTTCATGGAAAAGTCTAAGTCAGGAGAGTTCTTGACCCTGGTTCACCGAGTTGATGATCCCTGGTGGACTGATTTGCTCACCGATCCATTAGCTGCTCATCTGTCCCCCCCACTCTGGATCAGGCATCCAAAGAGCAAAGAGATACCACCCCTACCTGAGGGGTTCCAGCCAGGGAAGAGGCGTAGACATAGCACAAAGGTGCATCTATGCACAAGTCCAGAACCCCTAGAAGCACACAGTGAGCCTGCTAGGGTGAGTGGTAAATGAGTTCAAACAGAGCCAACCTCGGCAGGGCTAGGTGAGGCAAGCCAGGTGCCCAGGACACAACATTTAAGGAGACAATCACTCCCAGGCCCCTGGGAGTGCAAGGTCGGCACTCGAGCGTGAGCGTCTCCCTAAATCTGTGCCCTGGGTGCTTCCCTTGCCCCACCTGGTGCTGGCCCTGCCACTGAGACCCCACTAGGTAGGACAGAAAAGAATGCGGTCCACAGTCTAGGAAAGCATCTGTCTCATCCAAGGCTTTCTTTTTTCTTCTTTTAGTATAAGCAGCATGAACGGCAAATCAAGAGTGATAATTTTCTTTCCAACTCAGAAGTCACAAAGTGCTGTGAAAGTTGCTAAGCTCATGCTTTTCCCATAGGCACCTTCCCGCCGAGTATGGAGTCAGGCAGGAAGGAGCCATTCCTTGGCTAAGCAGTGGGCACCTTGTTACCTGATAACGTGCCAAAAAGTGAGGAGTGGCTGAACAGTTGAGTGCGCTCTGGCGGAAACCCTCCTTTTTTTTTTTTTTTTTAAAGATTTTATTTATTTATTTATTTGACACAGGGAGACACAGCGAGAGAGGGAATACAAGCAGGGGCAGTGGGAGAGGGAGAAGCAGGCTTCCTGCCGAGCAGGGAGCCCGATGCGGAGCTAGATCCCAGGAATCCCGGGATCATGACCTGAGCTGAAGGCAGACGCTTAACGACTGAGCCACCCAGGGGCGCCCCGTGGTGGAAACCTTCTAATGGAATGTGTCAATGCAGGGAACCTCAAGTCTTCCTCTGAAGTATTTCCTTTGAGAAGTGTTTTACCCTGTGAAGAACATGAGGGGGAAAAAATGTGCAATAGAGTAGCTTTTGTTTGCCACTTGTCTTTCTCCTGGATGCGCTGAAGTTCCCTCCCCAAGCTCACCAAGCTTTGAGTAGGAATGCCTGCAGCGCTATTCAACAGAACTCTCTGCTGCGATGGGAACTTTCCATCATCTGCACTTGAATGCAGGAGCCATTGGCCCCACCTGCTGACTGAACTCTTGAAATTGGCAGGTGTGACTGAGGAACTGGATTTAAAATTTTTGTTTCAACTAATCTGAATTTAAACTTAAACAGCTGCCAAAGGCTAGTGGCTGCCATACTGGACAGTGCATAGATACATAAAGTAAAAACAAAAAAAGTCAGGGGTCCTTTCCGGATTTCATAGAACCCAGAAAACATTCTAAATCTACTAGTCTGGTACTCTCAGGAGTAAAAATCATAATCTCTACCCAAACACACAATGCTATCCATGGAGACACAGATGTGGTTTTCCGAGGCACGGAACAGCAGGGAGGGGCTGACTGGAATCCTCATCACTGCCCTGTGGACTCTCATCATGGGACACCTCATATCTTACTGGAAAAAGCACAGTAGCCAAACTAGGAATGGGTTGGGCTGTCCCAGGGATACTCTCTGTCAGTGTGGCAAGAACCTCGCAACCAAAGCTAGAAATGCTCTCAAAGCAATGCACTGGAACCCAGTCAGTACAGTGTGGGGCGGCCTGTCCCGCGTTCTGCTCCAGGACTCTCTGCTGAGGGTGCCAAGGCCCCCAGGAGGGGAGGGGTGGTGAGAGCTCCACACAGCCAACAGATAAGGTGCATCTCCTCTCCCTATCCTAAAGCAGGTGAGGGGGCCCCAAGATTCAGCTATACTCCCTCCCCTAGTTAGCCTGGGCCCTCCCAGGGGAGAGGTCGGCCTCTGACTCCTCAGCCACTGCTACGCCCACGTCACCTGAAGTGGCCAGAATGCTGCCTTCTCATGCACACCGCTGGAGGATTTGCACTACCATCCCCCACCTCGCTGGAGAGCAGAAAAGACTCACAAGGAGCCTGAAGAAGTGAAAGGATATTATCCCCATTTTATAGACAAGAACACTAAGGTACAGCAGAGGGACCTGCTTGCGGCCACTCCGCTGGCGGCATAGCGGTGACTCAGGCATTTGCTGCCACATTCCAGGACAGCGTGCAGTTTCCCAATCTGACTGTGAGCCCAACCACGCTGCAGGCTGGGAAACAGGTTTTTGAATCGAAATGAACTAAGACTACCATCCTTGTTAAGAGCATCTTTGCACACAGCTGGTGATGATCTGCAAGGACCAGCCTTGTACACCAAACAACACAGGCTATGTCGATAAAACTGGTCAAACCAGCCTATGGTTGATGGGGCCTCAGCCTGAGACTGCAAAGGAACCCGATCAGCAGCTACAGAGAGGTCCCGCCATCCCTGAGTGACAAGCAAAAGCCAGTCATCATCTGAGCTGCTCACAGAACTCTGTAGGGGTCTCTGATGCCAGTGGACAATGTAAATCAAAAGGCGACGTGCATGGGGATACTCTCCTGGCTACTTTGTGCCCCTCTGCTGCTTCCCTATCGAGCCATCCTCAACCCTGTTCCTGCCCTGCCTTTATGTGTCTCCATTCATAACCCAGGTGCTGGGGATCCAGCAGAGAACAAAATGCACAAAACGCTTGCCTTCGTGGAGCTTACATTCTAGAAAAGTGGAAGATATCGCACAGTAAAATATATTAATATATGGGGAATATATTATAACATTATTATAATATATATATATAAAACCGAGTTGCTTATATATAGATATATATTATATATATTATATAATATAT